GTGAGGAGCAGGGAGGGGGCTCGGGGTGCCTGCGGCTCTCACGGGGTGCAAGGTCCCTTCCTGGCATGGGGGCAGGTTGCCACAGCAACTGCTACACCCTGCTGCCTGCCCACAGGCAGGAGGGGCCACGGGCACGTCTGACGTGGTGGTGGCCTCTGTGGCTGCCAGCCCCTGCCCACTCTGCCATGCCTCCCCCCGCAGGGTTTCCTCTCCAAGGGAGGACGGTTCTGCTCAGCGAGGGACAGAGCTGGGACGAGGAGCTGAGGCGCAGGACGCCCTGGAGCAGCTGGTGGAGTGGCACGTGCCCCTGCGAGAAGGCTCCAGGTGAAGCACGGGGCCGAGTGCCTCAGGGAGGCAGCACCACTGGGCCTCGTGCCCTGACAGCGTTCTGCCACCCTGCCCAGGGCGCTGCAGGGGAAGAGCAGGATGTAGCAGCACCAAGAGACACCAGCAGCAGGACTGGCGGCCACTGCCGTGGCAGGAGACCAGTGTGACATCCACATCCCCACCAACGTCCGCAGTGTCCCTGCAGCCCCAAGCACCACGTCTCTACCCTCCTACATGGTGCTGCTGGAGAACTGCGGCTCAGGCACAGCCCTGATCCCGTGGGACAACACGTGGGAGGGGAACTGGCCTTGCACAGTGAGGAGGAGGAGCTTTGGACAAGGGCCTGCCTCCCTCAGGGGCCTCCTGCTCTTCATGGCACCTTCCAAGGGCAGCCACTGTCCCTAAATCCGGCAACTACCTCTGCTCTTGCTGCCTCCTGGGGGACACCAAGGGACTGGGATAACAAAAGCACCTCACACGCTGGGGACAGGGTGGCAACACCACATAAGCCAAGGAGGGACAGACTTGCTGGGGTACATTTCCTCTCTGCATTCCTCGTGTTCCTGGCACCTCCAGGATCAGGACATTGCCTGGAGTTCAGCTCTGAACAGGGGGCTGGGAAAGGGGGTCCCTGAAGTCCTTGATGTGCTGGAGCCCAGGCCCTCCTGCCCCAGAAGAGCAAAGCTTAGCAGGAAGAGGAAAGAGGCAGATGTCTGGGCTCTTCCAGCCATTATCCAGCTTGGTTTTGCTGTGAGGGGAGCCAAGCCACCCCAAACTACATCCCCCTGCACCCCTACAAGGAGGGGTGCTGCCCTCCCCCCCGGCACCCCTTGTGTGCAGCACTTTGCGCCCTGGCAATAAACGCGGCTCTGTCTGGACGTGGCACAGCAGTGTCTCTCTGCGGGTGGGAGGAAAAGCAGAAACAGAGGCACAGGCTGTGGGGCAGAAGCTTTATTTGGGCTGCAGGCGTGGTCCCTGGACGGTGAGGGCAGAGGGTTTGTTGGTGAGGGGGTGCCACTGGCCCTGCACACTGGGGTTGTCAGTGTGAAAGGGTTTGCGGATGCGGACGATGTCGAGGCCGGACTGGCCGGCCAGTTTGGTAGCCAGCTGCACAATCTCCTCACTCGTTTTGCTGGCAATGAGCTCCTCCCGCACCGTCCCGTTCACTGCAGCAGGATGGGGAGCGTCAGCCAGGGGCCTCCGCCTGACCCGCGGCACCCCACCTGG